GCCAGTGAAAGTGACTGCGGAGGAGTGAATGGGGCTGGGAAAGTTTTAGAAATGCTTCCTTAGGTATTTGACAGCGTGTTCCGCTCCCTCATAAATTTGGTTTGAAAGTGAGTTTCTACCCGAAGCGCCGCAGCCTTCCCCCTTTTTTTTTTAAAATATATATATATTCCCCACCCCTCTGGATTTTCCACAAATTAGCAGATCAAGAGAGATTCAGAAAACTTCTCTGAATACACATGTGTCTTAAGTAAGCTTTCTTTTGAGGCGTGGCCAAAGCCTTCTAAATCCTTAATTAAGGGCAGCTTGAGTCTGGGAGCTTTATTGCGCTGTACTGCTGACAACCGAGGTTAAACTTTCCTGCTATCTTTCACGCGCTCCTCGGAATTACGCAAGATCTTTGCAACTTTTGAAATCAGGGAGCCAGGCTTTGGAGCGCGGTCCGTGTCTCCTGTTGCGCTCGCAGCGTTGCTTCCTTAAAGGAAAGGCTCTTGGGGAAAGTGGAGTCCAGCAGCAGCAAATGGGTCTAATAAGGGTTTATCAACGAGTTCCTCAGTAACCTTCCCATATAAACACAGCAGTCCTGAGACTGTTTGCACAGAGCAGCGTGTAAGTCTTTTTATTTATTTATTTTCCCCATTGCAGAAGAAGAACAAGAGGAAGATGAGGAAATTGATGTCGTTACATTAGCTGAAGGGAATGAATCCGAATCCAGCACAGAGTCCAGCACAGACACATCAGAAGAGAACAGTAAGCCCCACCACAGCCCGCTGGTTCTCAAACGGTGTCACGTCAACATCCATCAGCACAACTATGCCGCTCCTCCTTCCACCAAGGTTGAATACCCAGCTGCAAAGAGGCTAAAGTTGGACAGTGGCAGAGTTCTCAAACAGATCAGCAATAACCGAAAATGCTCCAGTCCCCGCACGTCAGATTCGGAAGAGAACGACAAGAGGCGAACGCACAACGTCTTGGAGCGCCAGAGGAGAAACGAGCTGAAGCTGAGTTTCTTTGCCTTGCGTGACCAGATACCCGAAGTGGCCAACAACGAAAAGGCGCCCAAGGTTGTCATCCTGAAAAAAGCAACGGAGTACGTTCTTTCCATCCAGTCAGACGAGCACAGACTGATCGCAGAGAAGGAGCAGTTGAGGCGGAGGAGAGAACAGTTGAAACACAAACTCGAGCAGCTAAGGAACTCTTGTGCATAGGAACTCTTGGGCATCGCTTAGAATAACCCAAACTAGACTGAGACTATGATAAAATATTACTGTTTCTAATATCACTCATGAACTACACCAGTCCATCGAGTATGGAACTATGGCAACTGCATGCTGTGCGATTTAACTTGAGACTACACAACCTTGGCTGAATCTCCCAGGGGTTTGGCCAGAACCTCAAAACTGCCTCATAATTGATACTTTGGGCATAAGGGATGATGGGACATTCTTCATGCTTGGGGATGAACTGTTCAACTTTTTTTCTTTTAAAATTTTGTATTTAAGGCATTTTTTCATATGAGAATCAAAAAAAAAAAGTTGTCCCCAGATTGCTGTATATATTTACACATCTTATTACCATGTAAATATGTTTTAATAAAGTCTTTATAGAAAAATGTGCAACATGAATACACAACAGTTGTGGCAACTGGATTTATACTTGTCTTGAACTTATGTGCCATAACATTTCACTTTTTTTTTTATTTAAATAAGTTTTTTTCTTTTAAAAATGACTTTTATTTTGTTTTTAGATAAATAAATATTTGCCCAAAATATAATTAGCTAAATCCTGTGTAAAGACTTTGCTTTGTCTCACACTGTTGTCATTAGATGCTCATTTCTGTGATACCTCTTTTTTTTTTTCATGGTAGTGACATGACAAAAGTCCAAGGGAAGTTGGGTGAAATGATGACCATTTTACAGCTTAGCAGGGAGTTGGGTTTCTTCCACCGGCTCTTCTATTAATTGAAGTAGATAAGATCATTGGTCTAATGTGCTTCATCAGTTCAACCAGTGTTGCCAGCAGTGGCTCCATGAAGGTGTTGGTAGCAATGTCTGCCTTGGCCATGGTTGTCTGCCTGGGTTGAGGTGGTGTATTTTTACACCAGTCACCCCGGTGTATGGGTTCTGCATTCCTTCCGTGTATGTTTAACTACATTTTCGGGCATGACCTTCATTCTGCACTAGGTAGCCAGCTACGTATTTTGAGAGCTGCTTTGTAGTCGGCTCACCTTAATTGCTTCCTGTTTGATTTTGAACATAAGTTAAACGGGATAAGAAAATAAACGGAGATGGTGAGGGTTGAAGTGGTTAAAACAACAGAGCGGTTTCCCTTTTTAAGTGCTGAAATCAGCAGAGTCAATCTTCCTACGCAAGCACTTACACTTTATTATTAATGTGAATGGTTCTTTGGGATTTCAAGGAATACAAAGTCCAAGGACAAGGGCATGCACAAACACACTGTGGGAGCAAGGGAAAAGAAGAGCTATTTCTCACCTGGAGAATATGCTGGGACAGATTCCTAACATTTGCCAGACATTAAATCATATTTACATTCAGGAATTGTGTCATGAGCAGCTTTGGATGGACGATAAAGAAAGCACTTGCCTGACACAGCTCCTAAGACTAAATTTGATCTTTTTCTCCCTTTCACCCATTTAGCGCCACTTTGGTCAAAACTTGAGCGAGAAATCAGTTAGCTCCTTGATGTGAGGGAATAAGGTGCTTTTCAAAAAGTTGGACCTTGTACTTTTTGATTTTCGTAATTCTCATTAAATACATATTTGTGTGGCTTCCAAACCTTTGGGCAGCCATGCTGCCAGATAACACCAGTGCCGGCAACCTCACTGGGTTGAGGGTTCAGATTTTCTATAGGTTTTGAGTTTGGAGCAAGAAGAAGGGTTGTGTGTGGGGGTGGGTGAGTGGGGGTAGTGTTTTAGGGACAGGGTAGATGCCAGAGTTTTCTGCCCTGCAAAGCCTAGGGTAACCAATTTTATACATGGGAATTCCAGAAGAAAGTAAGTGCCTAAATCCCCTTTGATGAGGTGCTTTAGGTGCTGGGCTGAAGTTTTCTTGGGGGGAAAAAAAATCTGTTAGAAAACCAGGAGAAAGCAAGGCTTTTTTCTTCAATTTGTCTGTACTGCCCACTTGTAACTCAGTTTATAGAAATGGTCTCTAGTTGCTTTTTTCAGTGTGTGATTCAGATATTCACTTATTAGGAAAAAGAATGATGTGAAAGGAAACTAACTGCATCTGAACTGTAAATCAGGACATCTTCCAGCTCTGAATAAAGAAAAGTTCCACCTTTTATTAGGCAGGATAACTTATCTTGAAAGAACATGAATTTCACTTGCCTTTTGGCACACGCTCTTTCTTAGATATTGCTTAGGAACAAAAGCAAGTTGTTCAAGAATTTCTACCTGCGTTCTTACCCTCTGAAAGAAACTGAGACATGAAGATCCATCCACAACGTACTAAAAGGGTCCTACTTTCATTGTTTGCAAAACCCCCTCATTTCTTCCCGTTAAATGTTAGACCACGATGATTAATAAACCTTTCCTTATTTGTCGTCTTCTTAAATCATTTGGAGAATATTTTGGGTTTTTTCTTCTATCTGCAGGAGGTCCTCGGTCTTTTGATGAATAGGACACTTGCAGTTACTTAATTTCTTATTCTCATCGTTGAACTGTGCATCAGTTCCGCTGGTCACTTTCCTGCTGGAAGAGTACACCAGATCATGAACATGATCCCCAATCACCACTCTAATGTTTTTATGGGATGACACTTCATATTTATCACGTCTCTTACTTTGTTGAAGGATCACAAAGTACCTAAATAATGTAAAAAAGAAATAAATTTAAAATAGCCCATGGGTGCGGTGGTAAAAAAACCCACTCCTGGTCATTCAACTGCCATTACAATAAAGAGGAAGGTGGCTTCCACTTTTCGACTTGACCTGAGAGATTAGGATGTTCGGAAGACGCAGACATCCCACAGGAGTTTCCGGGCTGGATTCAGTTAGTAACGCCTTGTATATGGACAGGGAAGTGTTCGGTTTTGCTGCTGTTTTGGAGCAATAAAAGAGATAAGCTTATAACAGAAGCCTCTGAGCCTTGAAATAAAATGCAGTAAGTATTTACAGTGCTTGCCAAACAGCTGTACCAAAACACTACTTGAAATACAAGGAGCATTCTTAGCTTCATCTCTCTCTGCTCCTTTACTTTCACAGGAGATTTCAAGCCACTTCTCTGCCAGAAAAACATTAGGCAAAATACGGCATCACAGGAAACTAGAAACAAACCATCATGGTGAAAATAAAATTGCCCTTATCATGTATTCTCACTGTTCTTGTTTAATAATACTGATTTTTAGGGTTGCAGCTTCATTTTCTTCTTGTCTGTAAGTTCTGTCTTTCCAGCCAACTAATAATCTGAATTACTTCAACGGATCAATACCGAATATGCTGGGGAAACATTGGGATGTACAAAAGCACCTGTGTCGGCTTAATTCAGCTCCCGAGTCTGTGGAAATTCCATGTTTCTTCCAGGGAAATAGACTAGTGCCAGCGGAGGATGCTATTGAAAATTTTATCACTGCCTATAAAGAAATCACTGTACTTGCCCCTGCCATAACCACTCTTGTTTCTGTAGCACTTTGCAACCATTGCAGGCAGTTCAGAGATGACAAACACTTCATCAGAGTTGTATTAAGAGGAGAATTTCAGGTAAGTGGAATAGAATTACTGTAAACTGGAAATAAGCCAAGCCACTTCATTTAACATCTGAATATATTCAAAACGGAAGGTAGAGGTGGGTGTTTCATCTACAGAGATTAACCATCTTCTAATATGCTGGATTTTTTTTTTAACTTTTTTTTTTTGTTGATCTGTGTTAGAGTCACCTGTCAGTGAATTATCAGAAAAATAAAACTGAATGATACAGAATCCTAACACAACCAGACAACTCAGGATTTACTTCCCAGCTTACGGGTCTGTTATTTCCCTGTTTTAAGGGCATATCTATGGGAGCTTCTGAAAAAAAAAAAAAGGCTCTGCTGACTGAAAACCAACCTCTGATTTCCCCTTGAGGTTTCCACGCAGACGAGGCCTAAACCTGCCTAGAAAAAAGAAAAATCAAGAAATGAGATACATGAGCTGCCGAAGGCGTATTTCATTTCCAGTACTGACAAAACGTTTGACGTTCAGCAGGTTTTATCTACCTCCGTGACCTTTACTCATTTTGGGCATAGCTCTAGAGGCAGTGAGGACAGGCAACGGCAAGAACGTTATCCAAGATTCAGAATAACAGCAAGGAAGTCAAAGGGGTTTTTTCCTAATTCTGCCATTCACCTTCTGCAGAGAGATCTCGATGGCAGTGCACTCAGCAGTGTGAGACTCACTCATCATGGATGTGGAAGGGTCACAGTGACCAGGTGGGAACAGGGTTGGGTGAGACACTGGCCAAACAGTGACAATACCACCTTTAATCAGTTCTTGACTATTTGACAAGGTGTTTTTTCACATCTCTGCAGAGGCCAAGCACCTTGTCCCTAAGTGTGCCCAAAAGCCATTTTCCTAGGAAATAAGTTATTTATTCTGACAATAAAAGGTATGACCTTTGGTGCTTAATACTACTGCATATGAAAAAGTTTCATTTGCCGCTTGCCAGAAGTGTTTAATATTGGTAGTTACTGAGCAAACCTTGCTTCAAGTCACCACCAGTGCATGGGAGCCCGAGCTATGAGGCACATCCGCACGGTTGTGCTTGAAGCCGTAAGACACGAGTGAGAAGTTGTTGTCTGAGAGTGGAGTTGCACGACTCTGGCTGACTTTGATGGTAAAGGATCTTATTCCCACGAGCACTGTTTCCAGTTTCCAACTGATATATGAATTGTGGAGCTATTCCTTGTTCCACACAAGTCTGGGAGAAAGCACTCAGGTTCGTCCCTGACAACGCGTATTACGGTGATTGCATTTTGTCACTAACTTCACCCTTCGTGCATGTCTCTCTATGGGTCTTGCCATGGCTACTGTTTTGTTGAATTCTTTTTAATTCAAGGCAAAATCTCTCTTGCAACCATGTGTAATTTCCATCACAAGCTTCTATGTCCCAATTATGTAGAATTACGTTTCCCTATGGGATCAAAAAGAAAAAAAGAAGAAGAAATAAAGGCTTAGGTGTTATGAATGAAGACGTTTTAAAATATAAGCCAGAAAAATGGAGCAATCTGACTGGGTAACGAAGAGTTCCAAGCATAGAAATTAGCACTGCTTGGAACTAATTAGCCCCATCAGCTTTCTTCATGCTAATTTATCCATGATGAAAGGGGACAGAAATAGCAGGAGGAAAAAAAATTGTGGGAATTGTGCTTTATATATGACTACTATGAGTAGGCAAACCCGCAAAAATTCTACAGGCTAAAGCGTGAGTGATCAAAAGCAAAGCCCTGCTCGTGCAGCCACATCCCTTGGGACTCTCTCTGGATGGCTGCAGGTTGGAGTTGCACAGCAGCTCTCCTGTTTCCCAGCATGTTTTTCTCCCAGGCGCCACGCGTGTGTAAGGGGCTGCTCATAGGGATGCAGCTGCCAGAGCCAGAGCTTCTTTCCACTCCTTTTTCTCCCATTAATCTGCTCCGTGACGACAGCAGATCCAAACAAAGCCTCTTCGTGCAGGTAGTTCCTGTGATCTAGTGCCCGGCAGAGTGTCTGACAAAGGCCTTTTTGGCTTGAGACCAAGGCCGTGCTGCGCTACAGATGAATTAGGGGAAGAGGGATGAACTC